AAGATGAACTCGGAAAAAGTTCCAAAAATAACTTCATAAACTATTTGTTGTCTGAAAGGTTTTGAACATTCAGCCTCAAAATCGCTTACATTAGAGTACATTGATGTCTTAAGAGACATATTTCGTTATATATGGAATGATAGGTAATAGTAACCATTTCTGTAGCTAACAAACCCAAACTAACTTTTCTGTCTCAAATCTTTCATCATATAGGTTATTCCATTTATAATTAGGACTTCCATCATATCTTAAGAAACGTATATTCTCTTTAGGTTTGGTAGCTCACTTTTCAAATATTTATTTTATGACTGAGTGAGATTTTACTTTTTTAGTACCATGAGCTTAAAAATGCCAATGCATCTTTTATTGCAAGGAATTTATGTACATAATCTTCATTAGAAATGCAGTTTCAAAAAAAATCTTATTTTTAATTTGTCCGGATTGTGTTAATGATGACGTCTGTGTATGTAGATAATAATTGAAATTTCTAGCAGACACTGACGAACTGTATACAATTTGGTAATATCATCCTGTTGTCATGGTAACCAAATCTGAACTGTCAAGGATGTATCATTTCAAGGTAACTGAGAAAAGAAATGAACCGTAGTTTTGTGGTACATATGACATATTAGTTAGAAATAAATAATTATGTCATTGAAATAAATCTAACAAAAAAATAATGTAATAATTTTCGTAATAGAAAATCCAACGTTAAAGGAATTTGTATCATTTTTAGAATCATCTGTCAACTTATTAAAAAACTATTCTTTATTATATTCAATATTCATTTTGTTTTATTCGCCACACAATTTTATTTCTTTTGTCCGACAGAAGGAAGTATGTAACTATAATTATTTAAATCGGTAGTTCCAGAAGCATAAAGCAATAGTTAGACACATTGTTCTAGAAATCAAAATGAGAGATATTTAAGTATGAATATATTCGTTAGTATTAGGGTCATTACTAGGATCAGTGGGCTTTTCATATGATTTGAATGTTACATTTAGAAGTATTGAGTTACTTCATTATGACTATGAATTAACTGGATTGTAAGAGATGGTTAGTAATGAAATCAGTAATCAAAGATATGGAAACGTTATGAATGATTAAACACGGACTATTATATAAAACTAGTCTTTTGAAGAAGGGTAAAGTTAGTTATATTTAAAATACTGAGCCTCATATTCTCTTACATTTTCACCTCAAACCATTCTACACTAAACATACTGAAATGTTGTACCATGGCAGTACAAGTTATGTTCATATACCAAAAGACCCAATACCAGCCACTAGCGAATGAGAAATGATATAATAACTATAGTTCTCTGAAAAACATTTTAACATTTATTCCAAAAGTGGTAGTGTGTTGAGTGATACTTATATTGACATAAGTGGTATATAACGCGAGTCAGGAATGTAATGTCTGGTAGCGGAAGATTGGGAAGACCAAGAAAGGAAGAACGGGAATAGGAAGCAATTAGTGTGGAAATGCAAGAACAATGAAGTTCCAGACAATTATTGAACATTTTGCAAATTAAGTATTATACTATGATTTTTCTATTTTACCAAGTAACTCTGTAATGCTGTGCTAAATATAGTTCGGTTGTCCTCACCTGTGTTCTCCTTCACTACAGTGGTATTATGAACACTTGGCTATGAGTAAAGTAAGGAATCTTCGTAGTTACATTCATTGAATAAGAACCTTAGTCAACTGTTCATCAATTCTAACATTCAACTGGTGTTTCAAAATGCTCATTACAATATACTGACTTGAGTGGTAAATCCTAATAATAGTCAGAAACTCATCTAAGCGAGACAATGAATAACTTTTACAAATTATTTCAATCTAAAGTTGTTTAATGACATTAAATCGAATGAACATGTATTTGTAGAGTAGTCTACTAATTAAATAGAAAAACTATTGTATTAGTGTATTTTTCGGTATAATACGTATTTTTTTCAATGAAATTAACTGGTATAAGTTATGATAGAAGGCCATAAGAAAATGAATATAGTAGTGGAAAATTCAGTTAACTCTAATGTTTTTTCTTCTTTACACATAATTACTAAGACTGGATGCCAAATGTAAAATTTTAATTTCAAAATTGATTTCTTCGTAAATTGTTATCATTGAATGGGGTCATAACTATGATTGTCTTGATTAAAACTACTATAAAGTAATTAGCATTCTTAAGAATATTGAGTTTTCTATTAATGTAAAAAAAAGCATCTGAAACAATCAATTTATAATCAAATTAACATTACAGTGAGTTTTAGATAATTGATATGGTAGATTCTATGTTATTTGTTTATTATTTATATGAACACATAAATATTGGTACAAAAGGGCACTGAATATATATGCGCTACACAATTCACATGACTGTTGTGTGGGCTAAGATACTGCCTGGGTGCCCAGACCTAGGCAGGTGGTTTTCTTAGGAAGTTACCTCCGGAGCCTTCGATCTAAAGATCTGATCCACAGGGAAGTACAGCAACGTCAAGAGATGCAGTCCCATGGTAGCCGGTGAACAGCAACTGGTTCACATTCCATTTATTCTTTCATGATCACGGAACCCATGTGCACCAATTGTTCGGAATAATGGTTCGCCAACTTCCCTAGGTAAACTCTCTGTGTCCGCCAACTCGGTTAAAGTGTCGGGCATCCGATTTTCATCTTTTTAATTTTGTGAACACCACCCCCGTCACAAGAAGACAGTTAGTAGGAATTCCCTATCAGTGGCTGAATACGCGTGGCCATGTGAGAGCTTTTCAAGAGGGAGATCTGACTCTCCCTGCTCTCCGCCGTACCAGAGCATTCAAGAGCAGTAAATTCTATGATCGTCTAATAATTCTACAAACTGTGATGATGTCCTCTGAAGAAATTTCTAAGTCCAACTTCATCAGATAAGATATTATGCAATATTCTATTCCTTCATATAATCAGGTTGTTACGTCCCGATAAGCATAATGAATGGTAACTTTTGGGATCAATTTAACCACCAATACTATACGCATATTTTTATCGAATAATTGTTAAATAACTAAACTGTTCATATTCATATCCCTCTTATTATGAGCTTTATTTTGACCTATGAACTACTATTATACGATTTACCATTCTTGAATTGTGCCCTGTCGATTAATTACTACCTCCCACATTCACAGCCACATTCGGCTAAATCTTGTTCAAATGTTATTTTCCATTTTATGGTACGATGTGGTCTGTCTGGTCGGTATATAAACCCAGTATACTGGAAATAAATGATTCATATTGCAGGAGGTGAGATTTGTGTTCTGGAATTAACTGGCTGGGTTAGGTGAAAAGCAGAACCAATAAGGACTCTAGACTGCTCGTATGAGTTTTATGAGTCACTGGACCGATCGATAATTCACTGCTCTCTAACTGACGTTATCGTTACGTTATACATTAACAGGACACATAGGTCACAAGTTATAACACAGATAAATCACAACAATTGAGAGACTATTTTCAATCATAAATATTTAGACTTATATAATACTTATATATAAATATTTATACCTATTTTTCATTTGACAATTTTAAACAAACAATTTTGCTGTTGTTTGAAAGCAAAGTTATCAGTGTTTATGATAATCACAAGAAAAAAAAGAGTTTTTTATACAAAATACATCAATAAAAACACAAGATAGTCTCCTAGTGAAATAATTAAAGAGAAAACAAAAAACTTTCTTTTGGAGTATATTAATGATGAAAACAAATTAAATAATGAGTCATATTATCTGTAAACTTGAATGTTTGCAATGAGGAGTACTAATTACTCAGTAATAACAACAACAACAACAACAGAACATACACAGAAAACCAATCAATCAAATTGTTTTTACCACAAGTTCCTAATTGTAATCAATAACACATAATATTCTGGAATCAAGTCAAATCTAGATAGATACAAGTTTTTCTTTTGTTTCATATTCTGAGGGTATATTATCAAGTCTTAAATGAAAGTTGAATAATTTTGTAAAATGAAATTATTTGACAGATAATTTTTTTAAATGTCATAAATGGAAAAATAAACAAAATAGATTGATATTGGTTACTTGTATCTTCTCATTGATGTTTTTAGAACTGCAATTGATCAGTCTAATGTTGGCATATGTGCATACCGTGCGTATTACCCCAATATTGTCTTAATTCACAAGCATTATATGCAAAGATGGATAGTGGCTAACAGTGGAATACAGGGCCGGCGTTTTGTCTTATTTAGGACTCGTCAGCTATCCAGCTGTATCTCAGAGTTGATGTTTACTCCACGACTCGAATGCAGTACTGTTCGCTTATCTACTGCGTCCTGATAGACACTAGCTTGTACAATGGGGTGAAATTTAAATTTACTTGATATTGTTTACTTGAATCTTCCAGTTAATGTTTAAGATTGAAATTGATTGAGAAAATGTAAACAGAATCCTAGAAAGTTCAATCAGTTCTAAATATTTTCAACATTATGTTTTTACTTTTTACTGATTAGTAAATTGGAATATTAGGAGACAAATTATGACATTTTGACGTAACCTTTAATTTTATATTTTATAAATTAAGGATAGTAAATTTCTCAACTGACAGGTGTAGTATCAACCAAATAACAATAAAGATAGCATTAGTACATTTTTTCCCTATTGTCTTTAGGTAGCCATTTGTAAAATTAGCCTTTTTTTCTCAATAACTGACATTTTATTTTTGACAGATTTTTTTTATTTCAAAAGTATCAATCTTTTATCGCATAAACTTTGATAAAGTAATGTATGGCTTAATGTTACTCTTCAGTAATTAAGTTAATGTGTTGCATTATACACTCACATTTCTACAATTAGTATGCTGATTATTCCTTGCAGTTTAAGTCTATTATTTGACCTATTAAACAGTAATTTTATAAATAGTGATAAACTAATAAACTTATTTGACCAATAATTTCAATAATCTTTTTCATGTTTATATTCATCTTTTTTTAAAAAATTAGATTCATTAGGACTCAAGCAGTTTGTAATTACCTTATGTACAAATGTTGAAGTAAATAGTTATTCAAATCCAATGATCATAGATCAACAAACATCAATTTCCTGTCCATATAGAACAACTTTACATATTTTTGATGCATATTACAGTCAAGTACTTGACAAAAATTCACAATGCTCAAATTCACCTGAGCATATTGAAAGAAATCTAAAGTATTTAGATAGACCAACTACAAAGTTCAGTCTAATAACTGAATGCTATGCTAAATCAATTGGACAGGTAAGTTGAATTCGATTACAATTAATTAGATAAATTCTTTATCTTTTTATAATAACACCGTGGTTAGCTTTATTACTGTTTAATAATAGCTTTAAGTAATCACTATGTCAGTTCATTTGTATTGTATATAATGCTAGAATTAACGGTGTAGGTTTCATCTTTTTAAGACTTGCAAGCTGGATAAACCTGCAGTAGTAATTTTCATGCTAAAACTTGAACGTTTTACCAATCTCTTCAAACAATAAGGTATTATAAACCGAGATGATGAAAACAGATAGTCACTAATTTACTTGACATGTGAAAGTAATTTGACATTCAATGTGTTAAATTTACTTCAGTATATTGCCTGATAGAACAGATTAAAGTTGTCAAATAATGCGAAATAGCTGTCTATTGTTATTCCGTTTTCAATAGTTCTCCAATAGCTGTTGCTTTGTGATGAAAACTGACTTTAGAAAATCTGTTACTGTTTATGAACTCATAAAAAATGGAACTTCAGATGATGGGAATCAAGAGGATTACAAATTACAGTCATATTGTCCGATAAATTTGATTGGATAGTTCCATAAACTTGTCAAATGGTTTTATGATCAAAATTTGATTGATCCGCATCATAGATAGTCACGTTCTGAGCATAATACTTAAGAACAAATTAACTTTTTTTTACATTATTTCGATTAGTATTAATTAAAACGCAGACAAATATCAGGTTTGATTCAATATGATTTTAATATAAATACAAACAACCATTTCATTTACTCATTACACATATATTACTTATAATGTAATTCATTAAAAACAACTTTTCATCTATTTTTATTAATTTTTAGATTGTAAAACGGTTGTGTGATGGTACAAATAGATGTGATTTAATTCATCAATTAAAACAGAAGAATATCACAAATTGTCCATACCCATCGGTTTTACAAGTAAATTATACATGCTTCCCAGGTAAATGAGTTAATCTGTAAAATCTAAAAACAATTTATTATTATTATTATTATCCGAAAGAGGTTTTGTGGAGAATTTAGTAATTTTTTAGTTGAATTCATGTGTCAATTGAAGCTAGACCACCATGAAAAACCTGGAAGCACTGGACGGTCGTTCTTTCCTAGTATGGGACTCCTCAGAAGTGCTCATCCCCACAAATGGTCACTCAGTGTTTTCAGGTTTCCAACGATGGTCTAACAATGATCGCTTCATGATCTCATTTAAGTGAAATTGTATGTCAATCCATATCTAATGTCTAAGTTATTTAGATATAATATTCAGTACCCATATATGTAAGTTTTATTTCACATTTATCTTGATATCCGTTTTTACTCTTTTTTTATCAGTCTATTCTAAACAAGAAGTTATTTGTGCAGATTCTTATGTTGAATTATCCTGTAAAGCGTTTTCTATGGACATGGGATTAATAATATTAGAAGCTGTACTTAACCATAATCTTTCAATACAATTAACTTCACCTTCCGAAACAAGTTTGCAAGGATGTTTAAGATCAAATGCAAATGGTAAGTAATATCAACATTGTATTTTATAAATGTAATGCTCATATGTATTATAAATTGGATATAATATAACAATTAGTAATTTAAATTCACTTGGTATTGTTTTATTTGTGTCTTCCCGTTGTTATTTAGGACCGCAATTGATCAATCTAGTATTGGCATATGTGCATCCAGTGCGAATTGCTACGATATAGCCTCAAGTCACAAGCATTATAAGCGAAGATGGATAGTGGCTAACAGTTAAATACAGGACGCGCCTTTCGTCCTATATGAGACTTGTCAGCTGGCTGTACTTGCATCCCAGAGTTGATGTTCACGCTACTGAGTCCTCAGTAGCTAAGTGGATAACGCAATAGCATTTGAAGCGAACGGTATTGGGTTCTAGTCTCGGAGTGAACATCAACTCTGAGATGCAGGTACATCCAGCTGACGAATTCCAAATGAAATGAGACACGCATCCAGGATTCTACTGTTAGCCACTATCCATCTTTGGTTAATTAATAATTTAGTTTGTTTTTTTAAGATTCAGAATTAATGTATTGAAACTACTGAAGAGAATTAAGTAAACAGTGAATCGATTAAATGGTTTAAAAAAATAATACCATTTAGGTCTAGGAGTTCAAATACAATTAGATTGCATTTTATTCATTTATAATTACAATGATTATTTCTAGATATCAATTAAGAGAACACTATCAAACTATAGTTTATTAGTTTATATTGTAAACTATAATGCTTAAACTGAATGAAATGATCTGATATTTTGACACTATATTTGAATAAAGCAACATTTTTGTTTTAATATTTATGAAAAAGTTCTTCAGTATCTAACGTTTAATTGTATAAATCTTATACAACAATATAAACAAAATTCAGAAGGATCATATTTTGACTTTGATGACCACCCAGTGATTGTTTTTGAATTTTAGTTCCAATGATTTTTTTAAAATTTTAATTAATGAACTATCAATTTTTAAAAACAAAAAGAAGCATTTTACTACTGAAAACAAGATGATTTTGGACAATGTAAAAGGGGTAATAAAGTATCTTGACATTTGAAAAATCAAATTGAATGTTTAAATGTAGATGTAAACTATGTTATGTTTTACTCAATTATAAATGTTGTTTCTTAAAATATCTACTGGATTAGACATGATTACTCATAGTGAGTAATTTACATCATGGAAAACATTAAAATATAGGATTAGTCTGTTATAATCAATATATAGCATAGAATGAATGCAAATTGGATAATGTTCTTACACTAAATCACTATGAGAGATAGAATTGCCTAGATAGGCATCGAAAGGATCAAACTAATGTTAGTAACGAAGATGGGAAGAAAGAGAAGCACACACACAGAAGAGAGAGGAATAAATATGGACAGGTTATAGATATTCATCGAGTAAGTCTTATGTAGTAGAAGGAATCAAGAAGTCAACAAACAATCAGCAGATATAACCAGATTAATTTTAAAGTAATCATTTCTTTAAATACCATGTTTATATCACATAACAGTTTCGTCTCACAGATTCAATAAACTAATTGACACTTTCCTACATCGTTCATAACTTGGCATCATGAATTTTAAGTTGAGTGATAAGAAAATCTTAAATGAAACATTTAAACAAATTCCTGCATTAGTAGAAGTAGTCATTCATTGCTGTAACAGTTTTACAACGTTAAATGTTATTAAATGCCGTTGAATATTCTGTTTCGTTTATCATTTGGATAAGTACACAGCCATTACTTCCAAACCATTTTTTACACAATTGATTGGGACTTTTTCCATGGTCAAATAGAGCCAATTTATTGTTAAATACAATTCATTATCACAGATTGAACTCATGAGTCAGTTGAAGCTAGACCACCATTGAAAACCTGGAAGCACTGGACGGCCGTTTCGTCCTAGTATGAGACTCCTCAGCAGTGCGCATCCACGACCCCGCACCACGCGGGGCTCGAACCCAGGACCTACTGGCTTCGCGCGCGAGCACTTAACCATTAGACCACTGAGCCGGCATCCAACGGTGTTAATGTCTAACTTCAACCAATCCACGAAGTTGCGCTACCGTACACCATTGTCTTCAGTGAGTTCCTATCTCACAACAGACCTGGTTGAACTCCACTGGTAACGACTTCTCACTAGAACTTCAGAAGTGTCTCCTGAAGTCAGTCACTAGTGAGCAGGTGAAGACAATGGTGTACGGTAGCGCAACTTCGTGGATTGGTTGAAGTTGGACATTAACACCGTTGGATGCCGGCTCAGTGGTCTAATGGTTAAGTGCTCGCGCGCGAAGCCAGTAGGTCCTGGGTTCGAGCCCCGGGTGGTGCGGGGTCGTGGATGCGCACTGCTGAGGAGTCCCATACTAGGACGAAACGGCCGTCCAGTGCTTCCAGGTTTTCAATGGTGGTCTAGTTTCAACTGACTCATGAGTTCAATCTGTGAAAATTTCTAAAAATCTGCACAAAACACATTCTGATAATAACAATTCATTATATCAATTCAAATATACTTAATTTGCCATTAAACTCTAATATTCAAAAACCTTCCCAATGTAAAATGCAAAATTCCTTTAAAAAAAGAAAATTATTATTAAAATGAATATGATGACTTCTTTTTTGTAGTGATTACTGAAATCTTTTCTAGAAGGTATTCAAAAAATCATTCTCTCGATTCAATAAAAACAACATTATTTAACTATGACCAAATTTATTTTTATTACTGTCAGTACAATGAATACATCACAGTATATTCCTTAATAATTCAATAGTTAGATATTCAAACCGTTGGATAACGGCCGGTTCAGTAGTCTAAAAGTTAAGCGTAAGCGTGTGAGACCGGTAGGTTCAGGGTTTGAATCCCTCGGGCGAGATCATGGAAGTGCACAGTTTAGGAGTCCCATACTAGAACTAAAGAGCCATCCAGTGCTTTCAAGTTTCCCATGGTGGTCTAGTTTTAACTGACTAATGAATTCAACTATTAAATAAACAACTGTTAATATTTATTACATTACTTTAAATAGTAATTATTAAAAAATTAATGACTTTCAAGTTTAAAGCTATACAGATTTAATAATGAAAAGTCAATCTAGTCAACAAATGTATCATTACAATAATGAGTTGTCAACTACTAGTAATTGTATTTTAAGCTTAATTATATAATCCAAAGACTGTAATTTATTTACCTTTATTCCAGTAAATAAAAAACAAAAAAAAGATAGATTTTCCGAAAAAAAAGTGGTAATTTAGATGATTTGATTTATTGATAAGAATACATATTTACCAATTTTGCTTATTGATTAATTCTATAATGTTAAGTTTTACATTGAATGATTATTGCTGAATCAAGAAGAAGTGATAAGTGTTGCTAACATATTGGTTAGTAATAAGATGTAAGATTACATGGAAATTTGAATAGCTAGTTGTAAGTATATATATATATATATATGTATGGATGAATAGAATCTCAATGCATTCTCTTTCTTTAGTTCCATGACAGAAATAACAGAAACCATCCGTAGAACAAATCGATATTAAAATGTTGTGTTGTTTAATATAATGTAAAATCATTCACTAATTCAAATAATTTCAATAAAGGATTAATCGTACATTTAGTACGAATGTTCACCTCATTACTATCCGTAAAATACCAAGGTAGTTTAATCACAAACTATAATCAACTACATAACCGATGGAAATCAGGTAATTATCGAAAGATGTTTGATTTAAGGGTAGAATTCATCAATTGTGTACACTTAATATTCTCATCTTGGTAAGATTTATGTATTTAAAGCTAGTCAGTTTCTACAAGCAACTTTCAACGTTCTTCATAGAAAGCCTGATCTAGCTTAAGAAGATCATTATTGGGAACAGAGCTGGCAACACTGATGAAACTGAATGATATTTATGCTAAATAAACTAGTGTTGGGAATATTGGACATTAAATTTCGAACGATTTGCCAAAATATAAACTTAAGTCATGGATTTTATTATTTATTTTGTTACGTTTTAGGCTAAAAGAAATTTTTTTCCCTAGAAATGTTGTTCATTATCATAGTTTAACAGAAGAATTTAGTGTCTATTACTTACTTACCTGCTCCTGTTACCCCTCGTCGAGGAACATAGACCGCCCACCAGCACTCTCTATCCAACTCTGTGCTGAGCAATCCTTTCCAGTTATTCCCAGTTGCTATTTATCCATTCCATATCTGCTTCGAATTCCCGACGTGGTGTGTTCTTCGGCCTTCCGCTTTTCCGCCACCCTTCAGGATTCTAAGTTAGGGAAATTCAGTGTCTATAAGTGACTGATTTTCAATGGTTTCTCACATAGAAAAAAATAAAACAAAATACTGTCATTATTCAATTATTATGATATATTCAAATATATTTGAACATTTTAAAGTTGGGTTGTATTACAATTGTCAGGAATGTTCAAGTAACAATTTTGGTTAGCCATGAAATATCTAAAGCTTTAATTGTTCTAATCATTCATATTGTGATAACTCATCAAATGTCATACACATTATAACAGATCTTATGCTTTTGATGACTTAGATAATGTGAAAAACAAAATATATTATTGCCAATGTCAACTTCTTGTTTGACCTAATGAGTTCCCTGCCCACTAACTTGAGCACAATTTCTCTGTTTTAAAGAAGTGAGCACTGATGATTTGAGGCAAGGGAGGAGAATATAACTGAAGATATGTTTGTTACAAGAAGAAAAGAGATTACATTAGTACATAACCTCAAAACGTTTATTTTTACATCTATTCAGTTTATAATTAATATTAATTCATAATTAAATAAGCTTTAATTTTGTAAGTTCATAAGGGAAACATCAATAATCTATTGCACAAAACCAATTTACTTATCTCAAATAAATAAAGACGTTACAGTCAGCCAAATAACTGATATACTTTATCAGACTCTGTGTAAAACCTCTAACAAATTTTTAAGTTATATACATTTATGCATAAGCCACATTATGGTAACAGTGGT